GAGCGGGCACCCAAACAGCGTCCCTGTTCCCGCCGGCTTTACACCCGGCCTACGCCGAACCTCGCCGGGACAGCAATGCTGCGAGGTAACCCAGCAGCGCGTACGGCAGGCAGTAAAGGCGGGACGCTACTCTCATTTCTGAATCACTTTAACGATGTAGTATGTGGAAGACGACGAGGACAAACTCACCGAGACCCACCGAGGTTTCGCGCGACGCCGTTACGCCCTCATCTCTCGCCCTCAAACGACGCTTTACGCCGCAAGACGCATCAAACAACTATAGCAGAGGCTTAATTAAACCTGCAATGTTCAGATAAGCTTCATAAATTTTAAATCAGATGACTGGGAACTTTCTTTACTCTAGATATGTGATTATTAGACAACGAAAGGCGATACCGTATTAACATAATAGTGTTGCCATTTCAGCTACACACATTTACTGTACTGTATATACAGGGCTGCCAACTCACGTATCTGGCTTCACACGCTGTCTGACACGTTCACGCAAGAATCATACAGAAACTTTATATTATTCCATTATAAAGCTAAAATTAGCTGCATGAAAGGCGTTGGGATATTTTGCAAACCCTACACACTATTTACATGTATTATACATGTAAATGACTTGTCTAGAATTCAAAATGCCACGCTAGCCACCCCAAAGCTGGTGAAACTGTATATACATTATAATTTGATAACTAGTGATCATAATTATTTAAAGTTTGATTTTAAGCAGATTATATGTATATGTTAAAATGCTGTTTGGCTATTATTTGGCTTGTCTTGGTGGTTTTCCAGATGGTACACAAGCCACAGAATCAGGATCAGCAAACTATGGCTGTCATCTGAAGCAGAAAACTCTGGAGTAGATTTACCTGAATACTTCTCACTAATCCTTCAACCTATGAATCCATGGCACATTTCAAAGGAAGGATATTTAATCTATATATATATATATATATATATATATATATATATATATATATATATATAATATATATGAGATTACCTATCATGTCCAAAATATTAAGAATAATATTTAATTGTAATAAATAAGGTTTGTTCTTGCCCCCTTTGTGGCATAAGGTCAAAAATAATATGCGCACCAATAAATGTTTATAAGGGAGCAATAGACATTGACATTATTTTTTAATGTCCTTCTTGTCCTGCATGTATAAAATCTGTTACTATATTTGTGGAACATTTTGGTTTAACAGGAGTTCATCTGATTGTATTCTATTCCAGTTTGGAAGGATGTTTATTGATGAGTGTTTAATAATCAGGAATTGTAGCATTACTTGATCCACAATATGATATTGATGGTAAAGCTGTTTTGTGGACAAATACAGCTTTTCATCTACTTAACTGTAATCTTGAAAAATTACCATATAAATTTGCCTGTTTTCTTTTACATGCTGTATATTTTTAGATATATTTTGTATTATATGTACATGCACAATGTGATACATACATGCACAAACAAAACAAATTATTCCAACTAGATATCAACCTTCTAAACATACCATTATTCCAGTTTGCTTCAGTACTGGGTGCAACAGTTTATCATCAGTTAATATTTCCACAGTGTAAAATGTGATAATTTCTTTTGCCACTTTAGTTGTATTTTCAGAAATAAAAATGTTTTGTCTCTGTTTGTTTTCCGATTGCCTGTAATCATTCTGCTGATTGGTGTATTTTCTCCCCAAGGCACAAGGCATCAGTTGACCCTGCCATCTCTCACGGCATCACTGCAGGTGTGTCGAGTCCAGGTGTTGCCAGCAAACAAAGCCCGTGAAGTCTGACGTCAATGAGGTGTAGAATAGGAAAGCTGAAGTCAGAGATGACATCACTCTGCTTGTAGTCTCTGTCCTCTATGTGGCTGAAATTAATGCACAGTACGATCACCACACCTGTCCGTTCTGGCGCTAGCCTGCAGCTACACGTTGCTGCTTCCTCTATGAACCCTAGGTCTCTCATCCAGTATTAACTCTGGGTTAAAAAGCTCTTGCATCTGCCAAACCAGGAACACACATGGTGCAAGCCGTATCAAATCACTTTGATAATTCTTTCCATGTCCCAGCAAGTGATCATTCAGTTATAAATATATATATATGTATATATATGGGTCACCTTCCAATACTATGAACCAAACACTAAGATTAAAAAATATCTAGTTAAGCTCAGAAATATGTGCATTTTAGATGGAATAGATACATAGAATCTCACCCTCTTATGCTATATAAAGCAGAGGGAGTAATAGATTTGTGCCATTTCAAATTCTGTGTTTTCTGGTTGATATTTGTATTTATTCTCACTTTGCCTTTTATACTTTTAATGTATTCGATTAAATGTATATAGCCTATCCCAGGCAGCCCGAAGCACAAGTCTGGGGTACACCCTGGATGGGATGTCTGTCCATTGCAAGGCACATAGATTGTGGACAACCTAGAGATGCCAATTAACAACGTGTTTGAACTGCAGGAGGAAACCTACGTGACACAGGTTGCTCCGTAAGCAGGAAGTAGTGGTAGGATTTTAACCTCCAACTCTGAGGGTATGATGCACCAGCACTATCCAATGCGCAATGCAGTCCCACACTTAGAAATTATAAGAATTTACTAACCTATTGTTCATATATATACTCACACACAGATGAATATATATTGTCATTTCACTCAAACAGTTTGCATAAGGAAGCATCAAACAAAATGTACAGCTGAGATGTCTCCTGCACAAGAAATTGTTTTAAGATTGATGGTAAGTTTGTTAAAACCCTAAAAAGACAGCTACAGTATGTCCCTCTGGCATTTTGAGGGAGCTAAGACTAGCAAGAAGATGACTGAATCTATAGCTAAACTACATGGGAAGCATGTACTGGTGTTACATCCAAACACGGTTTGAACATCCTGTTCCAACATGTCTGCCAAAACATGCTCAAACATCCTCCTCACAAATTCATAAACTAGTCACATATGGCCTCTGACCTTGCTGTGTGCTTAAGGGACTGCTGCATTTTCCAGCTAATTAAAGAACAGCAGGATTCTTAAACAACCCCCAAACAACAACCTCCAAACTCTAAATACACTTTTAAACCTGAAAAACAGGTTTGAAAAACAGTTCCCTGTTACCACTGTAATTATGCATGAACAATCTTAATACATTATAATTACCCTAAAAAACATCAGACCAAAGGGCCCCAAACTCTATAAATGATGTATTAGTGATCGAGTATAATTTAAAGTGACAAGGCATCCAGGGTCATTACTGAGCTCTATGTACACTAATTGCACCAAAATTAATCATGTTTAATCTAGAAAACATAAAACTGGAAAGTGCTGGTTTATACGTTTCCCAAAGTCAAATTCAAACAAACAACCAATTATAAGCACCCATTAAAAAGTGAGTATGCAGAGACAAGAAGCAGAAAGCCTCCTTATAATCTCTTCTTAGTGGCTATCCCTGGTAGACACAGAAATAGCTTCCACTCCTCTGCATATTTGGAAATGCATGTGTTGTATCACGGCTTTTCCTGACGTCATGCCTCATTGGTCAGACAGGGGGCTCGCTGCCACAAGTATTTATGGCAGTTTGGGCAAAGTTGCCCCAGTTCTAAAGCTACCAAGATATGGAATACACTGGTGTGAAAGTTAGGAATAACATCTAAATTATGGTTAGCAAACTGTCAAGGATCAGATTGCAGAAGATCACTGTAGGAAGACAATAGGGAGTGCAAACAATGCTAGAAACCCTAAATAAAATAAAATAAAAAAACTGTTAATGCTTTTAAAAAGAAAAAAGGTCTTTTTGTCTGGCTTGGAGCCGCATTGCTAGGAATAATGAAAGTACACAAATTAAACTCAAAATGACATTTCATGATTAACTATTTATTATCCAATTTCTAGATCTTAAAAAGTATAAACTGTCTATTTTTCACCAGCTTTTCATGGGCAGGACGATGTGGGCTGCAGCCTGTGTCAGGCGTAGGGCACGGGGCTGGGGGTGACCCCAGACAGGGTGACAGGGCACACTCACAACGAACAAATCAGACGCTCGTTAGCCTAACTGCGTGTCTTTGGACGACAGGAGAAAACTACACAACAGAGGGAGAACATAAAACACATGTCTAGCACAGACAGGATCTGGACCCCCACTCCTGAATGTGTAGGCAACAATGTTAGCCAGTAAGCCTCTATGCCACACTAAGTATTAACCAATCACATATCTGTTTTATTACCACATCAAGTCTTTGGCTACGTCACATAGAAAATGTCTATCGATCTATTTGTGAGGCTTCTTTTCTACAACGAACCCCAAAAAACAAAGTTATTATTACAACGTATGATGGCAATACATTTCAATATAATTCAAAATTATGGGAAAATATCCAATATGAGAATCAATATTCAAAGGGCCCCCACTTTTGTCAGAACCATATTGAGAGAGGTGGAAACTTCAGGTCCAGAAAGTACAAATCCAGAACAGGATTTTGTTTCAACCAAACAGCTGAGTACTCAGGGACTGTCACTCTTTATGCTCAACTGATTGGTTGGTTTCCACCACTGCATAATGACACAGTGCTGTATTTACACTTTGGTTAACAAACCAACACAGAAACACAGTCACAGATTCTGCCCTCTGCTGCACTAATAATACTACTTAACAGGCTGTGTACATATTTTCAATTGCAGCATTTGACTCACATTGGGTTGCATAGGAAGTGGAAAATTACACACTTCCCTAATTTCAGATGTATCAGCAACCACAAGATATATCTGATATTGTCCTTTAAAATATAAATATAGAACAATTGTAAATTCATATTTATCAGCGACAGAAAGCCAGTACCCAGGGTGCGAAAATATCCTGAACATCATTGCTGAAAATAACATTGGTATATTTAAATGACATTTGCTGTACCTGTATGTGGTATATATGGAATGTTAAACGTTGTTGTTGCAAATAATTCACATAACTTCCTGCTTTCATTTTAATTGCTTTATTTTGAAGTAGTAGAAACAAGCCACCATTATTTTGTACTCCAGGGAAACAAAACCAGACAAAATAAAATAACCTGCAGGAATGGTGCAGGGAATGAGAGTCGAGCACAGCTGTGATATGAATCGTGTCTTTGCTCTGTCCCAGGGAAAAAAAAAATCCTGCTCAGCTCTGACAGTCCATCAAGGCTGTACCCATTCCATTATTTAAAAAACAAAACGTCCAATGCAGAAACTGATTTTTCTTGATCAATTGGTTTTCAGTTATTAAATACATGCCAGAATATAATATTTGTTTCATTTCAGAAATAGGTATACTTTAAGAAAATAATACAAGATACTGAAAATAGAGACAAACACCAACTGAACAAATAAATAATACAGAACATACTTGTCACATCCCAATAGTCACATTTCATTGTCAACACATCCTGCCTTCCTGAAGCAGGGAACAGTGTCCCAGATGGGAATTGTGGTAGAACAGAGTGCATATCATGACTAATCTTCCAGAACCACACACACCAATATTATAAGTGATGGTGAAGGTACTGTAAGCACACCGATTACTCACACACACTTCCTAGGTCCTGCTTTGGTGGGAGTAAGAGCAGATGCGCTGACTCTCTGACATGCGTCGTGAGAGGTGCGTACACGTCCAAAGACCCAGACGACTGGCGCACACGTAAACAAGGAACTGCAGGCTCTGACGCCAGCTCTGATCTACAAGGCTGTTACATTCAGCCAGACCTTCAAACTACCATTCAGACTGTCCTGATAGTGAGAAACGCACACTTTACGTGCACCTTACCATAGTGCAGAACAATCCTCCACTCACCCCCAGAACATAGAATACGATTCCAGAAAGAGATAAAAAAAAATCCACGTGAGAACATCACAGAACATTGTTTGTCTTTCTCAGAACTTGCAAACATCCAGGCAGGCAAACTTTAAATCCAGGAGTACTTGCTCATCCTTTAAGACTTCGCCGTGTCCATCAGCAAACAGACGGTGTGAATCTGCAATTTTACTCTCGCGATGTGAGATGTTAAACTTTTAACCAGGAAAATGATCCATAAGGTGTCAGGCGTACTGCAGTCTGGAAGTGCCACACACACACACACACACACACACACACACACACACACACACACACACAAATATATAGAAAAACATTCAGAAAAAACACCAACCATTCAGATCTGTTTGTTTGTGACCATACTTAACTCTTGTTGCATTTCATTCTTAAAATACAGTTCTGCTACTAATAGATTGTGTTAAAGCGCCTCAAAATAAATGTAGAGGATCAATTTGTTTCTGGTCCAATGATACATTATGCAGGAGAAGCTTAAAAAATTAAGTCATATTTTATTTTAATAAAATTTAGGAACCCATGAACTGGTCATCCCTGAGGGCTCTTCAAAAAATAAGAACCTAAGTAACATTTACGAGCTGAAGTCACACATTAAGTTGTGGTAGCATTAAGTTTCTAAATAAATCCTTAACTTAAGTGCAGCACTTTCCTCAGTTCACAAAGCTGCTCATTCCTTGTGCCCAGTGTTGATTCAATCAGTCCCTGAAGCCTTGTTCAAATTGAGCTCTTGATCACTTAAAAGAAAGTTTTAGTTGTTACTCGGAGCAGTCCCCATAATTTAAAGCCACGCTGGCAAGTTTTATGTCGCCGTTACTTGGCGTGTGACTTTCCCATTATCCTTGATTCGCCTGTTAAAATGAACTGAATGGAATCGTCTTTGGGGGAGTGAGCTCGACATGCTTGTGGCTTAAGATGGCTGATCTGGGTGGCCTTCAAAAGAACGTGCCTTTGGTGCTTTTGCAGAGGATCTTCTTGAAAGCTCTGCGAAAGTCCTTGTTGAAAATGGTGTAGATGACAGGATTGAGGCAGCTGTTACAGTAGCCGATCCAGAAGAAGAATTTGAATACGGGCTCTGGAACCTTGCAGGCTTCAGGGCAGATGGCCTGCAGGCTATAGGAGAAGAAGAAGGGGAACCAGCAGACCACAAACACTCCGATCACCACTGCCAGCACGAAGGTGAAGCGCTTCTCACGGTTCACCATGGCCTTGCGCCGCGCAGAGGTACGGGTGCCATCTGGCTTGGACCTCCACCCTGCCAGTATCACCCCCTTTGAGGTGGTGATCATGTCCCTGTACTTCTGCACTGAAGCTGGAGAGTGCATCCCAGAGCCAGCGACCTGTGTGCCTTCGAGCACCAGCCCCTGATCGGTGTCCGACCCAGAGCTGGTACTCTCACCGTTGTTGTTGACTGGCCTTCTGCCCACTCGTTTGAGCTTTTTGCCCCCATTAGACTTAGGAACTTTCTCCAGTGGATGAGCAGAAGACAAGGAGGATATCAGTACAGGGGAAGGACATGATGGGGAGGAGGGGGTGGTGGGGGTGGCAGCGGGCGAGGGGGGCTGCAGCATGTCGTGGGTATTGGTAGACTTCTTGGCTTGCATTGAAGATGGACAGGGTGTCACGGTAAGACTAGGCGGCCTGTGAGTGTGACCTTTGGTGACCGTGCCTTCATTGGTACCATTTTGCTGGGCCTGAGCCGAAGCCATTGGGGGTGTCGTGGTGGCCGCCGGCGTCCCCTCCTTCCTCTGCTCCCCCGGGGGACAGCGTGTGCGCTGCTTGGCTATCTGGTAGATGCGCAAGTACACCAGGATCATGATGAGACAGGGGGCGAAGAAGGAGCCGACAGTGGAGTAAAGGATGTACCACCTCTCTTCAATGAGCTCACACTCCTTGTCTATTTCGTTCACAAAGAGCAGCGACGGGAAAGAGATGAGCGCTGAGATGAGCCACACCACCAGGATGGCCCCCTTGATGCACCGGGGGGTGCGCTTGGCGCCGTAGGTGATGGCTCGAGATATGGACAGGTAGCGGTCCAGGCTGATGGCGCACAGATGGAATATAGAAGAGGTGCAGAAGAGCACGTCCAGCGCCAGGTAGATCTTACACCACGTGGAGCCGAAGTACCAGCAGCCCATTAGCTCTTTGGCCAGAGAGAAGGGAACGATAAGGGTGGCCACCAATATGTCCGCCGCAGCCAGGGACACCAGGAACAGGTTCTGGGGCCCCCGGAGGGAGCGGCTTGTCAGAACCGCGATGATGACCAGGATGTTGCCCACGATAGTGATGAGCACCATCAGCGTGATGACAGTGGCGAAGGCGGCCGTGGCCTCGGAGGAGTACAGGGACTGGTTTCCAGAGCAAGAGGCTTCGGCTGCACTGCTGTTCCTGCCGTCCTGCCCTGAGCCCTGTGGGCTAACTACACCCGATACAGTCATGAGGGGGCCGTATGACAAACAGGAACTACCTTCTGAGAAGTGCAGAGGAATTAAACAAAAACGTTACAAAAGATTAGTATTACTTTCCCCATTTAACATGGTTTACAATATTACCTCCACTCAGCCAGTCTGCCACAGATCAAAGCAGCACTGGACATTAGCTAAATACAGCAACTAAACTTTCCTATCAGACCGAGTTTTGTTCGAGTATTACGCTCCCCCACTACCATTATCGATCCATTCTTCCCTTTTCGTTCGCCTAGTTTCTAAGAATCCAATCGATAACATATGGTCACTGAAGGGGGGGGGGGGCAGCACAGTAAACGGAACTAATGTTTTTTTTAGCGTCCTGTGAATACAATTGCTGCTCTGTATGAAGTTGCAAATATACAGTATTTTATTGTATTTTTTTCTGAGCTTAATTAATGTAGCTTCATTCAGTTTACAGTTATTTATTTATTCTCACTCCTATTTGCTATTGTCCATATTCCGTATAATTTGACATTAGCTTATAGTGCCAAAGCCATTTTAAAACCGGGAAAACGATGTTCTCTGTTATCCAGATCAAAGGACTCACCGCAGTTTCGAAAAAACAAGAACGGAGATGGTCAGCGAGTCCATTAATTCTTGCTCTGAGTGGATGGAAAAATATATATAGGCTACTGCAATATAAGTTTCCCCAAAAGATTTTGCAGAGCGAAAATATGAATACCAGTTTAAAAAATAATAACGTACTAGCTTACTCGGCAGGGTGAAATACTTAAACCCAAAGAAACATCTCTTCGAAATATTCTTCTCCAGACAGGTATAAGTTACAAAATCCAGCGGCAAAGTTGAAGACGGCTCACTTTTTAACTAAAGTTCAGATGCTCCATCCTTGCAGCCGGTCACGCATTGACAATATTCACCTGTTGTCTTATTTCTGGGAAGCAACCGGACAGACCCCCAGAGGCATGATAAGCGCTGAGTGCCGCTCCTCACGGCGCAGCCTGGCGGACTTCAGGCCGGTTTTTTCGCACTTTTACTTTTCCCCTCACATCCAGGCGTTTTTATCCTTGGACCGTGCTCCGCGTGCTGCTCAGTGCGCGCCGCACCTTCCTGCGCGCGCCGCTCCAGATGCCAGTTGCACCGCTCCGCGCAGGACTCCGCCCGGCTTTAATAGAGGCGCGTCTTGCATCCTCGTCTTTTAATGGCCCGAGTGATGTCAGTACTGGCGTAACGAGGCGAAAGAGCCTCTCCTCCCACCGCCAAATACGTTCCAAAGCCTGAAAGAGCAAACCCCTGCAAACCATGCTCTGCATCCGTAACAAAGGAGCAGCGCCGCTTCGTAACTGTCTCCATCTGCTCAGAGTTTTTTTTTTAACTACTAGGTTCCTGAGGTTCAGAAAAGCAGTGAAAAAAATTCTGTAACACTTTAGGGACACAAGCAACTCAGTTACTACTCAAGTGCAAATCATGAACAAATAGTAACTACACGAAATACATGAACCATTATGACTGATTATTGATGAAATAACATGGAATCGATATGTAACTTAAACTTAGTCACTAATTAATACATTAAATAAGTGTGTACTACTATAGTATGTGTGCCCCCTCAAGTAAAATGCTAGCAGAATTTCAAGAATATCACCAGTAACCTACAATGACTTGTACACTTGCCACATTATTTGCACAAGATTGCACAATGGCATTCATAAAAATGAACACCAACTTAATAACCATACCCAAGGATAGTCAACCTGTCTATACACATGACAAATATGTCATTGGCAAGTCTCATATGTGTTTGTGGCAAAATGTTTTGATTAGGGGAAAAATCTATGTAGGCTACATTTTTAAATACCATGCCCATGTTAAAAATTGCATGTTCATCAGAATTCACTATGGTGTCGATCCATATAGAGCAGGGGTCACCAACATGGTGCCCACGGGCACCAGGATGCCCCCCAAGGACCACATGAGTTGCCCGCAGACCTGTTCTAAAAATAGCACAACTCACCAGTGAGCAGTGTCTAAAATATAATTCTATCCTGTTGCTATTCTTCTTTAATCACATTTGCATTTATATAGATTTGAAAATGACAATATCTTTAAAAAAAAAAAGCATTTAAAACATGTTTATTGTATATGAAATTTAAGTTTAGGACTTTTCAAACTGGTAGCCCTTCGTATGGCTCAGTACCCGTGAAGTAGCTCTCAGTTTCAAAAAGGCTGGTGACTCCTGATATAGAGTATTATCAATTCATCATCCATAACTAGTTTCAATTCCAGGATGAACAAGGGAATGGACTCCCTGGACAGGATGCCAGTCCATCACATGACACACAAATCAGGGACAATATAAAGATTCCAGTCTGTGTGACAACATGTGTTTTTGTGCTGTTGGGGAAACTGGAGTCCCCCAAAGGAATCCATGCGAACATGGGAAGTACATCCACAGACACAAAGGCGGGGGTGAGAGTCAAACCCACGACCCAGGAGGAGCGAGGTCACAGGGCTACCCACTAGCCCATCACAAAACCCATCATCATCATTATACATATTCTTACTAAAACGTACTTTTGTTTTTCGAGATGCTTAATACATTACTATTAGAATATTGAGATAGATTTAGTTAATTGCACCATCAACATTAAACTGAACACAGTGCTTTTCGTGATGTATGTTGGCTTTAAAATCAATCCATCCATCCTTCGTACCCACTTGTCCCTTTCAGGGGTACAGGGGTCTAGGGTCTATGCTGGCACAAGGCAGGGAACAACCCAGAAGGGGGCACCACCCCATCACAGGGCACACACAGCCTTTACCCCTGTGGGGTATTTGGTAACTCAAATTCACCTTAACAGTTGCTCATTTAACCTGCGTTATGGCTTTGAAGTCAGGCGTTAACGCAAAGTATAATGCCAACCACACATCTACTAGACGGTGTCCGAATTGTAGACACATACTGCAGTGTGCAGGCGTTGTGCCGTCATAATCAAAGCCAGTCAGAGCCTCTGTATGTCTCTATCACACAGTAACGGCGTAATGCGTCACGAAAGTCAAAGAGTAAAACAAAAGGAAAGACAGAAATGCATTGTGAGTCATACTCGACGTACACAGTCTGATTTTAGCATGAAATGTGAGTCCTTCACTTAAGTGTGATATTCTGAGTAGATGGCAAATGGATACAAAGGCATAATGCCCCGGCGGAAAGGGCTTGGTTATTGACCCTACGGGTTACCATTTCACATGACCTCCATCTCGCAGAGACAGCACATAAAAAAAGGGCTTAAATTATCAAAGTCATTTTGTTCTGTGCGATGTGTTTTAAAATCACTTGGAATGTTAATGCTCTACTAACAACATAGTGCTGAAAGGGTAGGGCTCCGAAAGTATGAACATTCAAAACTGTTTTTTTTTTTTTTGTGTAACCTGTGCAAATTTCCGCTTTCAAAATGGGCATGAATAGCATCTGTGGTCATACATTTTTCTGTTATTCATTACCCTTGGCCAGGATTGGGTTGGCAGCATAGCTGAGTATCAAACTGAAAGAAGATTGGAATAATTGTAAGACTATAATTGGATTTGAGTGCAACTGCATTCTGTCCCTGTGTATGAAAATTAGACATGGCTACATTAAGCTTTTCTCATATGGTCCATCAAACGTATTGTAGGAACAAGTAAAGACAACATGGAGCAATTTCATCTGCACTGCAAGTCTCTCGGGAAGAGCTCGAGAGCACCTGATGGAGATTGGCACTTGAGAAGAAAGCGAGAACATCCAAACTCCACATGCAGGGAGAGGAGACTCACCTGAAACTGCCTTTCCTGGAGGCCGAAGGCAACGCTGCAATGATGACCAACAGCTCATCCAGGGTGGTCCAAAACAGGAGAAGCGAGAGATGCAGGTTCAAGTGAACCCTTTAACTTCGTGGATGGATTGGCGCCACACTGATAAATTAAATGTGTCCTTTATTATCTTTATAATAAACTGACATTACAAAGATGTGAAAGTATTTTAATTCTACCAAATCACACACTGGGACGATGATAATATTTCCCATTCAGGGCACACAGTAAGCAAAGTTAAAGGCTGTCTGGGAGAGAGAAACATAAATCAGCTTTTCTTGGTTTATCTTTGCCTGCTGTGAAGTGGCTTTAGGCGATACATGTAAATAGGTCTCCGCTAATGATTCCAGGCAGCAACCTCATTCAAGGACAGCGGCTGCAACATCCAACTCAAGACAGGCATCGCTGTGAAGTTCAAGCATCTTTAATGTAGAAAAAGTAATTAGGCTTGGGCTTTTCCCACCTGGGTCCCCTTCTGGATGAGTGCAGGAAATGCGGTTTGGCTGCAGCACTATGTAACACCGTGTTCTTGGCCTAATGTGCGTGGGCCATCTAAAAGCTATTTCCGCCAAATTCCATAGTACTGCTTTTCCTACAGCTTGGGACCCTTATAAATAGCCACACAATCACAAAAAGTGCCCTTATCATTCTGTGCTTTCTGCCTTGGCGTTTTTGTGAATGTCATTCATTTGCAAATTTAGTTTCCAAATAAGTCAAACCCCAGTCTATGTAGTTTATCATGGTCTCTGCAATATCTGTTCCTCTTGACTGAAGTAGTGATAAGGAAGATCCATACGCCAAAGTCACATAAATATTCTTCGCGGTGCTGGCAGAATTTGTGTTCACGGGAAAAAAGCTGACAGTGATGCAGCCTGCAGTCATTAGCATTGACCTGATCTGCCTAACATATGGTATCTGTTTTAGTTTCAGTATAATGCTGTTATCAAGGTTCCCCCTTCTGTGGATTTAAGGGAAATATGTAATTGTGCAATAACAAAGCTAACAATTATATTCTGACAAGGCTGGCTATGTCTATACAGAGGCATTCTACCCGTCCTTAAAGATAAAGCTGTAATGGCTTTTAATGATAACCTGCTATTCTCTGCCCAGAAGGCCAGCTCCGTGGGGCCTCCTGGACTTTCGATTTTGAGGGAAACACCTGTCATCTTCCTTAGAAGGGAGAATTAAGGGATTCAGTTTAGATCAACCAGCACAGAAGGTCAGGTCAGTAATAGAGGATCTGAGCCAGATCCTGCTGTGATTGAGTGTCTAACGGAAAACCGTTAATATTTGCAAAAAACAAAACAAAAAAAAACCAAAAACGCTAAATCATTCCAATTACGTGGCCCCTTTCGCGTAGCAATTTTAAGCTAATAATGTATAGACACTGCCATCTTGTGGACATTTACTATTTAAGATAGAACAGCTGAGAACAGGAATGACAGCGTCTGGCATTCGTACAGTAACACAATACAGACATGCAGTTAGCATACACATATCACACAAGAGCAAAAAAACATAATTTCTATCGTTAATCGTGCGTGTCCTATTGCCTTTTCAAATTAGAACAACAACTATAGTTATGGGCATGTGATTTTAAATGTATTTAAAAAATCTGAATCAAACAAATATTAGGCTAATTTTATATTAGGTTAGGTTTTAAACTTCATTTTCATAAAAGAAAACAATTCTTAATTATTAAAACCGCAATATATTTACAAAAGAGAAAAACTGGCCTACTCCGTTTCGACGATTAAATTAATAAGCTCAAAAGTCAGTTTTAACTATTTTGGCCAATAAAATGAGTACATATCTTTGTTTGTGAGGAAAGAGAAGGAAACGGTGCTGAGAGCAATGATATCGCAAACCGCACGCGGAGAAACAATGCGCAGCCACCAGACGGAATAATTTCGCAAGATGACGCGATCAGATCAAGGCGAGCAGATATCCTGTTTATAACACCTCCACTTGAAGGGAAACAGTCACGTGACCGCCACCAAGCTCAACTTGCCTGATAATTCATCATTACTCTCACGTTGTCGTGTTATTCACAGTAGCCTATATGTTCCATGAGTCTTTTAATATCTTATCCTACGGAACGTACGCGTAAATTATACGATGAAATGTCTGAAACAATGTTACTTAATTGTTTTAATGGACAACGTTTTAAAGATTATTTATACTGACATACGTTGTATAGCTATTGTTACCATATTCTGTCCGGATGTTAACAAAAAATTATGAAATATTATTCTATACATCCCTGCAACCAGATTTGTCTTGATGTTTTTGTTTTTATAGAATGTGTCATGAAAAAACTGGAAATTCCAGGTTGTCTTTGAAAGACAGATGCAGCTACTATCAGTTTTATTTTGGGTTTTACCTAATGAGTCAATTCTGGAAATAAATTACATAATAATGAAAAATATCTTGTCATGTGCTTAGGGGTTCTTAGTAATACCATTTAACAATGTGTGCCTCCTGTTAAAAATGTAAAAATCCATATGATGTTAGCAGGGTGCCCCAATCTCAGGGGGCAGTGAAGTGTGTGGTGACAGAACAGCTCAAAAAAAAAATCCATTTTAGGCATAACTAACACTCAAATGGGGAACATAAATTCCCCTTTGATATGTGTTTCCTCTTTACAGTTCACCAGACGTATGACCAGGTTTCACTAGGCCACACTGAGCCAGCGTGTCGTAAACAAACTCAGGAGTGATGCGTACAGTACTGCCGCGGCCTGGGGTGCTACATAGCTGACATCAGAGGGCTGTTTATCATTGACTGGAAGTGGAGAATATTAGTTATTAATCATAGCACCATGATACAGCTTAACATGAAGTTGCACAAATAATACAGATTATTCAGTAGGTGCATTTCTCAAAGAATCTTAATCATTAAAGTATAAATGTACTCTGATAGGTATATTTCTTGATGTCTCTTAAGGTGATCATTTTTCAAGTCAGTATTTGTTTGCATTTGGTCGGACTGACTCCTTAAAAGTCCTGTTTGTGACGACGGGGCACAGTGCGGACAGGAAAAAAGGGTGGACGATCCGCTTGTGGCTCTGAGACAACGGGTTTATTAACAAAACATGAACGCAAGGGGAAAACCACAAAGTACTGGGACCACGAGGTGTAAAAAACGAAAACAAGTAATACAAGAGACCTAAGACCAAGCATAAGATAGAAGATGACAACACCAGGGGAACAAGAAAACAGTAAAGTACAAATAAACAGAAGAGGCTGGGCTCCGGCCAACATCAAACCCATGATTGGAGGGTTCGGCTACTAAGCCAGGCACCCAACCTGCTGAGCTACACAGTGACTCAAGACAACTGGTGAATACAAGACGGAAGTGGGAACAGGGTGAACAGCAACACTTGCTGGCCAGACTTGGACCGACCACAAGGGACAGGGACAGAAGGCGCCCACATGGACACTATTAAGGACTTCAAAAAGCTGAAATCTTACTGAGCTTTATCAGAATGTGTGTAAATCATCGGCCGTACACACGAGGGTGTGACTCAGATCATCTCAGACCTGTGCTCATGTCTGTTATTGGCGCTCTGGCCCCAAACGGAGAACACCGGCCTCCAAGATGGCGCCATAACACCAGAGTGATGGGACAGTGTGGCAGAGTTTAAGAGAGAACTTATGGATAAAACAAAACCTCCAGACCCAAAGCTTCCTAATTACTTTTAGTCTTTTAATTTTTTACTAAAATAAGGCATAATATTTTGCATACCACTCTGGTGAACAGAGCAGGTGTATTAAATACTACTTGTTGTAAATACATACTATATGCAGATAGAATTTGATTTAAATCACAAAAAAAATATTCATTCCTCTAAGTGGATGTTATCAGTCAGATTCCAAAGAATGACCGTACGCATTCAGGCAGTAATAAAGCCTTAATGTCAACCCACTACATTTTAAATGCAATTAGTGCTTTGTACACTTGAGGCTGGTGTTATGAAACATGAAATGAAAGCTAAAATAACCCTGTGCTTGTAACCTACATCAGTTCATATGCATGAGTAACTCTGGGGAAAAACATGAGTAATATTTTAAGTAATGATGACTAGCAGGCCTACAGCAGAAAAAAAAAGCAGAAAAGATTTTTTTCCATAAATTAATGACCTTTTATTCTATATGAAAATAACAGTAGTCAACCAGCGTTTTGAATTTCCACATATAAAGTGCAGTGCAATGGAAACAACGTTGAATGTACACAAACATTTTGAAATGCTCCATTATATTCAGGGATATGGCTTTTTCCCCTTGTTTTCTAGTGCAAAACCGTGAAAAGAAAAAAAAAAAAAAAAAACACTGCTTATCACCTAAATCCATGGAAAGACTGTAGTTTTGTAATGATTATTTTGGTAGAATAGCCCTCTGTACACAAACCAGCAGCCACACACACACATACACACACACACACACACACACACACACACTATTGCTTGTCATGGAAAAAAAATGGATTAAAGCAAAAACTAAAAAGAAATAAAAGTGCACTGTGAGAGTGCAGCATCTAGAGAGTGACTGTTCACAGACACCTTTGCCTTCTCCAGCACCAGACTGCCCTTTAAGTTCTCACATGAATCCATAGAAGATGAGGGTGTTAAACCCTGTTAGTCATTTAGCTCAGGCAAATGGTAGTGTCACTGCTGACATAAGCCAGGAGTCAGAAACGAAAAGAAAGAGAAAATACAATAACATCCACTGTTCTCGGGTCAGAACAGAGGGCACACAGATGTCCAACCTATTTCTAAATGCTCTCAAGCCTTCAAGATGTAGTCCATCCATCCATCCGTCCGTCCGTTCGTCCACCTCGCCCGGCTCAGTGGCACAAAACGTCCGTCTCGAACTGCATGAGCTGTCCCATGAAGGCGAGGTTTGGTGAGATGACTTGTCGTCGCTTCTTCACAAAGTCGAAGGCTTCGTTGAGGCACACGCGGCGGGAATGGATCAGGTAGGCCAGGCAGATGGTCGCCGAGCGCGAGATGCCGGCCTGGCAGTGCACCAGGACGCGCCCTCCACTCTCCTTCACGGAGTCTGCGGGGGGGGGGGGGGACGACCAAGGTTAAATTTAACTGCAATGCTGGAAGTCACGCCAAGCATCTGTCTGCGTTGCATGCTATGCTACCTCATTACTCAACAGCTGCTTTGGATGTTTAGCTTTTAAAACATAATTTGCTGCTTAGTACATGTGTCATTTTCACAATTGTGTACAAATTTTTACAGATTAGAATTTACTGAAGCAGGTCAGTGATGATGTCATGCTCATCAGCCTCAGGGTACAAAATCTGTATTGGGCCTGATAAGGGTGCCCCTCAGGCAACGAAACTCGATCCGCAAGGATTGCCCTCTGCCTCTAGTGGGCGTAACGTCATGCCAGGGCATCAGGCGACAGGCTGCAGCTCACCGATGAAGTGGATGGCCTCCGGGAATCGGGCTCGGATGTCCGCCGCCAAGCTGTCCTCAACACGCAAGGTCATGTAGCGGAGCTCAGCCTCAAACAGATTGGGGCAGGATGAGGACACGTTGAGTACGGCTGTGATGCCACGCTCTGTCAGGGTCTCCCGTCGGGATGAGTGATGGGCACTACCCAAAAACAGGAAGGGCAGAATCTCCACTGGACCATCCTGTCAGTCAAAGGCAACAACACTTTAGAACTACGGAATTGAATAGGAGAACCCCTAAAGTTTCCCACCGATTTTAATTCATTTTTAAATTTGCATTCAAGTAACCCAAAATGGCTTTTTAAAATTCTAGACAATGCTTGTAAATGCAGTCAAAACCAAAAGAGGAAAAGTAATCGTTTGAATTAAACGTCAATTCGCGTTGATTAATAATTCAGCGAGTAATAAAAACTCTGCCATAACCCTGCCCCCTGTCTCTCACCTGATCGTACAATGGAGTAGTCCTTCCGGATAAGCCGTGTTCGGGGTCCCTAAAGGAAGGCTGTGTTCCCCAGTCGGCCGATGCGTAAACGCACAACTCTGGGTATGTGGCAGAAAAACTGTCGAATCCGCCTGGAATAAACGGAATGTGTCAGTTTTACAAGATATTATTAAACCACCAGTTCTTGGCATGGTAATCTTATATTTGAAAAACAGGCATAGTAAAAACAAACTAATATAATGAACAGAGCTCCCAACGGGTATGAATAACAAGTCAGACTTAGACAATGCATTTATATTGTATTGTGTTTATATGCATAATTTGCAAATGAGACTATTTAAACAACAGTAAAACAAACATTTTTCTGACTTTCATTTAATTAACTTAATTTGTTAATTTTAATTTCGCTAGTTTGCTGCCATGGAACCTTGAACTGAATTGTACCTTGTAAAAAGCAGATCTGAGTGGTACCCGGTTCAATCTCAGCTTGAAGTGCTGCAAGTAGCATACTGGCCAGACTCTCGTTTTTCAAGTCACCGATGGATCGGCTGTTCTCGTCTAGGACTATCGCGGATGAGAAGTCTCCGGCGCGCAGCCGACTCAGCAACGACCTGTCCGGCAGCAGCCACTCCAGACTGACCACAGAGGTTTTGGATCTTCGCCTGAGCATGGAGTTCCAGTTGACGTTCCGTGATTCACATATATGAGCCCGGGAATAGGAGAGAAAAGGTCTGCAGTCCAGCACCACACAGCCACCCGAAGTGAAGTGCTCCGAGTGTGTGCGCAGAACTTGTACCAACTCATTACCACAAATTTCCAGCAAATCTGTATTGCTCATTTTTTCGGTTGAAATTAAATAGGCTTGTAGTATTTTATGTAAATGCGTTTTCCTCTCAGGATGATTATTCAAAAAAAAATAAGAAAGTTTTTAAACAATAGATTTAGTTTCTGAGCTTAATTAATATTTGTTAATTTTAATTTGTTTGATTGTATCCTGTAATATACATTAAAATTATATGCGTTGCATATTTATTTCCATTCAGTTTACGTAAATATAAGCCTATATTTTTTCATCAATTATTGTCAACAGCTGTAGGACTGATAGTGAGGGGCGGACCACGAGCTTTTGTACTACAAATTACGTATAGGAGCCCTCCCCGGTTTTCCACCTCGAGGAAAGACGTCACAACGGAAACGCCATATATGGCCCCGTTGCCTTTTACCGGCGCACCATATATGGTTAACGACGTAGGCACTCTGGTTTTCACGCCCGCACGTGGTGCTTTGTGGGGGGAGGGGGGTTACCCCGTGTTTACGCTCACATGACGTTATTCGCATGCCGGGCAGCAGTACTTTCACTCGAAGTTTTATTGCGCTGCCTGTGCCTTAGCGTGGATTTTTCCATATCACTCAGTTTTCGAACCCCACTGAATCAGAGCTGATTCATCCATATGTGTATTAGTCGTGTGATTATCTGTGTGTAATAATTATCAATACTGCTGGGTCAGAACGGCATCATTTCTCATCATTTGCGTCCTACTCCGATTTCCTCTTACTCTTCCAGGTTTGCAAGGGGATAATTACCATATATATTAGCTGAGATTGTATTTTAGTTTTCGTTACAAATAATTGTTTTAGTGGCCCGCATAATGAGTCACCCCAAAGCTACAAAACAGGACCGTTTTACACAAATCATTGCATCCCCAAATTTTTGATAAAAGTTCCAGTACCGTTTGCAAGTTACGTGCTTTACTCTAGTTCCAGGAAATATAATTTAAATGAAATAAAAAGGAACGAATTAAACTTTGAATGACGAAATTTTTAGAAAGAGAATGCACATACAGTAGGAGTGTGGTTCACTCCCTCCCCAACACAATTAGAATTTCCTCTTTCTACTTTGCCTCATGAAATATTTACTTCATTAGCTAGTCTGAGGTCAATCTCCCACCCTTTTTGTTGTGTGATAACAACAGCACAATGACCTTAATTAGTACTGCAAAGAATGCAGTTTCCATGATAGTGGGACTGGAAAAGCAAACCAGGGATTTATAAAGGAACCGTAAGTACCGCAACGAGGACTGCGACACAAATTCAAGATACAAGACAAGATTATATTCACTATATTCACATTATAGCAGGCAAGATGAGAGCCCCCATATGATAATGTGTTCAGAACAAATACAAATTTAGTTAGTTTAGCTGATGCCGAATCAGATAATGAGTACTGATAATCATCCTTTATTCGCAGAGTTATGTATAATGCTATAATCTTTTCTGTACGTAATTTTATTCAGTGTGAAGTCGATTCCAGTATATCGGCAATTCATATGTGTCTGCCACGTTTGTCAGAAATCCCCATAACCTCTCTTTCTGCCCATGTGTTCTCTCTGTCTCCCTGAGTCTGCCTGACCGCTCCACCCCTTTGAATTAATTTAATCTCTCCCCCACTTCATTCAGTCATCTAATGCACTCGCTTTACTCGCTTTCCTTAGAACTGCCTTTCCGCCCCCGCCCACTTTCCACCGCATCCACCCCCACTCTCAGCAAACCATCCCACACTGCCGTTTTCTTGCCCCCCTACTTCCCCTCTTCTGTAATGCGAACTCAGAGACAAACATCAAGCACATCCTTCTCTCCTCATTCTCCCAAACCTCGATCATTCCTCGCGCTTAATGCACTCGTTCTTTTCCCCACTGTTCTTTTTTCCTTCCATGGTGATTCATTCACCCAATCCATATTTTCAGTGGAATTTCAACAATATTCCTTCTGCTTTCCATTGGACATTCAAAAAGCCTCATTCCTTTAATTTCTGATATTACAGTTCTCCTCCCAGTATCAGATGTAATACAGCTGAAATTGCTTTTAGACAAAATTTCAACATCAGCTGTAGCTCACTGAAAGATCTTCAAAGAGCACAACAGCCTACAGTTCAGTTTGTAGGTAGATTAAAAGTCTAAAAACAGTTTATAGGAGACCAAGTATTTTCTAGGTGCGAGGAGTGCATGGATGTGGGTTGAGGTTTGGGTGACAGGATGTAGCCGTTGCATGTAGTTGATTGAGGTTGGATGACAGGAGGAAATAGGAGTCACATGATCAGTAACTGGTCGGAACAATTTTATGGCAGGTACTGTACACAGTGACAGATACTTGTACAGATGTGTATAAAGGAAAAGAGAAAAAAGATTCACAACCGAAAGCCATTTTATCTCCCTAAAGTTATGCAGACATAATATTTAGGTGTGTTAATTTCAATAACATTTTTACTTTAAAAATGCTTCCATTGATAACAAATATATAGTAATGCCTATACACACACACTAATTTAGAAATAAATATCAGAATCTGTCATATTCACTGGCCAATTTCAATAATCACATACTGTAATTGTGTTGTATTACATATTAGTATTGTAAAATACTGTAACATATTGGCACACCAATGGGCAAAAATCAACATCATTATGAGAGAGTATGAGAATGCCGTTCCATTACTTAAACCAAAATCTAAAAAAGGAAACCCACAAGTATCTTTAAAATGAAAAACTGCAATTCAAAAGAAAACAGTTAATGCTATGTCAGTCTGTAGCCACTGTACAAATACTACAAGGGTAGGGTTCAGACATGTGGTTGAACAAGGGTTTTATTTTATCATGGCTATTATTACATATAGTCATATTGCCCTGGGGTGCCTGAATCTAACATTACAGTAGCTAAAATAAGTATACAAATGTTAGCACAGATGTTGCTGAGGTTTATTTTCTCTCCAAATGTGCTGATAAGAAATACAATGAGATTTACCGCAAAGCCTTTTTAAAACTAAATGCTACAATCGGTATAACGTTTAATTCTTATTTGAAACCATTGATTTGATATTACGGCCAAAACCTCATAAGTGAAAAAAGTTTGGCTACAAGTTAAAAATGCATTCAGACACCAGATACAGCTTGCCTATGACTTCCTCATACACAGCTATCGTGGTGACTAAGATCTTTTCTGGAACAGACTTACAAGTTTTTTGTGCTCCTGATTGTGGGAGTCAATAGTCTTCTATCAGCCCATGCAAACAACTTTTAAAAGAATGATAGACAAGAGACACCTTTCAGGGATTGGAGGTTTTATAGGATTTTATTAAAAATTTTAGTTTTTAAACAAAGGCTACTATTTTCTTATCCCAATGTTTGCCCCTCAATCCAGCAGCCTCCTCTTCTCCGTCATCACCTTTTCAGCCTTCCTCCTCTCCTCCAAAACCTGCCTCTGCTCCCATTTCAGTGCTAGGCTATAAAAACATGTTTCCTTTCCAGTTTGATTGGTCTTTTTAATAGTTATCCAAGCCACCTTACATAATCTACTAGCTTACATAGAAGGACACACAATTTACCTGTTTGTTGGAATTTAATTCTGCATTAGCATAGATAAAACCCTAACAGAACAGCCTTCAACACCCCCCCCACTTCCCCACACAATTTTCTACCCAATTTGCCAATTCTGTCTTTTACACTTGGCTGCCTACAGTGTCAGCCCCCCATGCGTCAGGAAACAGGGGGCAGATGGTTCTCGCTCGTCAAAGTCACAGCCCCACCAACACATTTTCCTTAAAACAGCACAGGTTACGCAATGCTGTGTGCTGCACAGTGTCAGCCTTGGGGGGCACATTTCTTGGGCCAGGTGAGTCAGTGGCATCTGATCTTCCCTTTGCAGGTATTGGAAAGAGTGACCAGCTGCGATGCATCTACATCAGCGTCTTAACCACAGACTTTGAAGGCAGGAAGTGTGCCCCTCCCATGCCTTCTCCAGCCAATCAACACACTCAGTCAACTGTTATCATGTTATCATGCACTATAATAAAGAGGTAACTGGCAGATTAAATGAATATAACTGTAATGTATTAATAATAGCCCAAGGAGCATGCACCCCACTCCACAGCAGAAGGAACAAGAGCTCAAGCCTGCGGATTTTTATTTTTTCAGTGCACTGCACATTTGCTCGTCTGCTAGTTGAGAACGGGGCAGAGGATGACTCATCTGAACATAGTTTTCCACTTCTCAGAAGACTGCGGTTTGAGCTCTTTGTACCACTTTACTCACAGGTAAAGTACATTTTTAGATGTAATAAGGGGTTTATGCCGCCAAAAACAGTCTTAATAACTGGAGATCTTGACAAGAGTGTCCCAACTAACACTCTTCCCTTAAAGTCACTGCCATCTCTTCTTCCACCCATGCAATTTTGCCCTTCTGGCCTATACATGATGTAAAGTGTGACGTGAGGTTAAGTGCTTAATTAATCATTAACCATGCCAATGCAGAAACACCTGCTCGGAACATTTCGTTTTTCTTATTTCTTTATTTTTCTTTTATTTTGGTAGTTTCCTGTATGCATGGTTCCAGGATCATTAGTTATGAATAGCATTTGGTTCCTCCCCAACACTATATTAAGTTTACAGATCACAACTGCGAACCTCAAGAAGAAACTACAGTTTGATCTGTGAGACTCACCATGTTCCCAGAAGAAGAACCACTGACTGAGCAACTCACAGCTAACATAACTGCTAAGAGACTGGCTTGCCCAAACATTTCCACTCAGGAATAATTAGATTATGTCATTCTTTATTTTATGGGCATCAGTATCTTTGTGTTTCTGTTGTTTTCCCCATCAATAGCACCCAACAGCTGCTGCTCTGTCATGGCTGCCCGCCAGTCACAGACCAGTTACTGTGCCAACAAGTGCAACAATCAAGTATCTGGGGAACACATGAGGGAGGCTGCTGCTGACAGGGGGGAGTGTGGGAAGTGTAGGCGTTTGATGACGGTTGGGGGTAACGGTTTGTCTGAAAAGAGACAGAGGAGACGCTACTGTTGGACAACCATTACTTTAGAATTGGGCCAAACACAGTTTGAATGTAAATTGGATGGTGACCTCACCAGTCAGCAGATACTTCATGCTGGCCAAAGCATTGTTGTTGCCACCCAGTAACAGGCACTGATATAATCCTTCCTCATTCAAGTTTAATTGATTCAGCACCACAATTGATGAAAACTGAACACATTGGAAACTTGCTGGAACGATCTGAGAACAGAGACATAAAGTAATGCATAAGAAAAACACTAA